GGTAGGTAGGTAGGTAGGTAGGTCGGTAGGTAGGTAGGTAGGTAAGTAGGTAGGTAGGTAGGTAGGTAGGTAGGTAGGTAGGTAGGTAGGTAGGTATCGCGGCATTTCGTCCTTTAAAATCCGCTACCATGGAAGAAAACGAAACCCTGAACCCTAACCAACACCAAGAGTCGTTGAACAGAGATCGTGAAGCAGCAACCCACCAGACTGGTCAAAAGCAACATCTACATTGCTTCATGGCTCTTGCCAAGAACTCTAAGCCCCCAAAACACCTAACCCAACCCGGAAACCGAAACCCTAAAACCCTGCCTAAAACTTTAACCCTGCACCCAGAAACCCCAAACCCTAAACCCNNCCCTAAACCCTAAACCTCAAACATCTAGCCGAGCCTGTTCAAGCGCTGTGCGGTACGCCTCTTCTGCCTGGGCGTGCCTCTGCCTCTGCATGCCGGCGCTTGTCTCAAACGGCTGTCCGATACCCAGCTCCCCTACCGATACCCTAAACTCTAAACCCTAANNCTAAACCATAGACCCTAGACCCTAAACCCTAAACCCTGAAAACCCTAAACTCTGAATCCTGATCCCCTTCATCTTGCATGAACCCTCTGCACTGACAACCCAATGACCACAGGCCCAGGTGCCCATGTAGAAGGTTACTGTCCTTTTCTAGCCCTGAAGCTGTTACACCCTGAAGCAACTTCCACGATGAGCCATTCTCTCATGTAGTCTGTCTGCTTTGGCCGCGTTCCAGGCTCAAACTGCTCCGGAGTCCAGATCTTGGCCTCAACCCTCAACAACTCTAAACCTCCCCGTGCTCTCAACTTCCCCCTAAACCCTAAACCCCAAAGCCTATAGCCCTAAACCCTTAAAACCCAACCCTAAACCCTAAACCCTAAATCCTAAACCCTAAATCCTAAACCAAAACAAACCCTGTCGGCGTAACCCTCAACAATAGAATTAATCTTAAAGCCCTATAAACTCCGGAATACCATGAAGCCCTACTTAAACCCTGGTGGCACTGGCACGCATGGATTCGGAGCCCATTTTTCTTCTTTCCATATAACCCTGGCTTCCCAAAACACCGAGCACTGTCTTGAGGGCGTGGGTGCAGACAAAGTTGGTGGCACCAGAACGACCCAATGTGCAAGCCTCCAAACCGCGAAACCTGCAGCAGCAAAGTGCACGGTAAGATAAGCTCGTGCATGGCCTCATGTTGCCACGACAACGATGACTGACCCTTGTGGAAGAAATACCTGCGCGGAATTCCGCTTTGAAACCCCGATATAACAGTGCAGCCGGTAGAGCGCTCATCACACAGCGAGGTGCCCGCTACCCTAAACGTAAGCCCTGAACTAAGTCATCAGCACTAATCACTAAACCCTGATGCCGTCGACCCCTTCCCCTAAACCCATGAACTCCGCCATAATGCCAGTTACGAAATCGAATACACAACACCAAGCAGCAGAAACAACACGCTAGGCAATCCCAAAGCCCTCAACTAGTCTTGAACCGTAAAGCTTGGGCTCAAAACTCCCCTAACAACCACCCTAAAGCTAAACCCCACCCCCCACCCCCAACAAACAAAAACAATAAAACTAAAAACATACATAGAAAGTAGCCTATATCCAGCCAACGCCTGGCCATCTGCATCGCCACCCTTTCAGCAGCTAACCGCTGCGCCGCCTTCGTGGAAACAAGATAGCCACA